CCTCACTTTCGGTACCGAAGCTGTTGTCTCAGTCGAAATCAATGCACCCACGTGCCGAACGGCATCTTATGCCCCGGAGCAAAATGAAACACTACTTACCCTGAATCTTGATCTCATCGAGGAACACCGTTCACAAGCGCAACTTCGGAATGTCGTATACAAACAACGAACTTCCCGATATTATGATTCGCTCGTCAAAGCCAATCGTTCAAAGTCTCTTTTGCCACCAAGAATCCCAACGAGGGGACCCTCAGCCCTTCATGAAGTCGTAACCATCTACCGACCCGGTACCTACCGATTACGCGATACCGATGGACAGACCCTTGGTCACCCTTGGAACGTAGAACACTTAAAGTATTACTACAAGTGACTAAACCTACGGCCAATACACTATGTAAACCCACTATGGTTGCTCTCATTATAAAAGTGCTTTCGGCATTGATGTTCGTATTCTTATTCTATACATTCAGTAACACCATAACGGCAGTACAGTATCCAGAATATATTACCTACGGCATGCATACTTGTATAAGAATATGAAATTTCAACATATAACCGAATCAAAGCAAACTTTGATAAAAAGCCACAAAAGGGCTGTATGTCTTAGCAAAAATCGCCATTCGGCATGGTCCAAATTTTTTACACATAAACAAGAAACAAAAGAAATTACAATAAATTGGTTTCTAAGCAACGGGAGGTTCGGCATCAGTTGTCACGGCATCGGCATCGACGTTCACAGGTTCGGCGCCAGTTGGCACAGCGGCGGCAAGAACGCTGGCAGAAGTCGGTACAGGATGGCCCTCTTCCTCCTCACTACTGGAGTCGGTCTCATCGGCTAAATCGGCATCGGCATCATCTCCCTTATGGGCCTCTACCATCTCCTCGGTGACGCCCTCAGGCAACAGAGGCGGATCCCAGAGGAAGTTCAGGTTCAGCCTCTTATCTGCGTTGTACCGCTTGAAACGGTAGACAAGGTCATCACACTGCTCCATGACTTCCTTGTCCACCAGCACCGTGAACTCCTCCGAGGATCGGTAGTCAGCCAAGGCTTTCGCTTTAGCCTCCTCCACCTCCTTTGCTCGCGACCGCTCGGCCGCGTCCATTATCACCTCCACCGCTGCCTTAGCCTCTTGGGCCTCCACCACTGCCAACTCAGCAGCAGCCAGCTTTGACGAGAGTTCTGCGATCTTCGCCGCATTTTCCTCGGCATGACGATCGGCACCCTGGATAAGCTTCCCGACTTTGGCAATTTTCGCTCGGCTTTCCTCGAACTTCTTCTGGTACCGTTCGGCATTGTTTACGGCTCGCTTCATGCAAAGCCACATCTCCATGTCAACCTGCCAAACAACAAAAGTTTAGTACACGCCGAAAGCACAAAACACTTGAAAACGCAAAACACCACAACACTTACCGCAGCCTGAAGCTGGAAAGCCCGACCGGCTTGATCACGCACCGTCTTCGCTGACAGCTGCTCTAGCTTCGTGAGCTCCATCTGTGCCCCGTCGATCATACAGTTCATGAACGGCACGACCCTTCGAGGAACGACAACGTTAACTGGCTTGGCATCCGGCCCTTCCTCATCGCCAGTAATCAGAATGGTCGTACCCTCGTCCGGCCCCTTTGGTTTCTTGGGCAACGGCATCACGTCGAGGGCACCCTCGATCAGCCTCTTCCCTGTCACCTACTGGTGGACCTCACGAACAGCATCGGCCTCCGCCGCCCTCTTATCCCTGTGGCGATCGGCTACGGTCACATCATCCCCTGAAGCTCATCCGGCCAAACAGGGAGGCTTCGTCTTCGATCCAGAAGATCCACCCTTCTTCTTCTTCTACTGCTTAGGCGCACGAGACTCCAGCCGCCTCCTCGTCGCCTCATTCATCGGCCTTCCTCCTGCCATTGCATAAGCAAACAAGTCAGTTAGGAAACGGCATACATAAGGGAGAAAACACACAGGTTGCCGAACGACATCACTTACTCTTTTTCCTCTTGTTTCTCCTTCTCCCTTCGAGCGTGCTCGGCTTCGGTAATCAAGCCTGCCTTATGTAGATTACCGAAGTCTAGCAGGTCCTTCCAAAAGTGATCACCTTTGGCAATCTTCTCCCGCACGCGCTCGATCGCCTCAATGTCTCTCTTCGATGCGGTAGGCCGTTTCAAGGGCACTGAAATAAAAGACAACACAGGTTAGCTTCGGCAGCTAGTGAATAAAACTTCAAGCAACAACAAATTACCGAACGGCACTCTATTGCCTACCGACTGTTAGAAACGTCGTGGGAATGTGCTTCTCAACTATAACCCCCGGTGCCGATTCCCAAGCTCCGGACACCAACACCCGACGCTTACGCTAGGTCTTCTGGGAGCTCAGCACCCCAACTACAAAATGCCCCCTCTGACCGACCGCCAAGCAATTCGACTGCACCCACCCCCGTTGGTCAGCACTCGTCGCCCTCATCACGCTGTACAATTCGACTACACAGAGAGAGAGAGAGAGAGAGAGAGAGAGA